TGAGGCCTCTGCTCCGTGGGTGCCGGCCCGTGGCACCGGCTCTGAGAACACGTATGTCTCTCGGGCTGTCTCGGGAGGAGGGCCTCTGGGGACACATCTCCTGGGGGAAGGAGCGGTGTCCAGCATGGCGAGCCAGGGGTGTGTATGTGTGTGTGTGTGTGTGTGTGTGTGTAGAACGTGGCATTTGCAGGACCTGTGGGCTGGGAATCAAAAGATTTAAATTTTGGTTCCCTGGTTCGCTGATACCCCTGGGTCTGATAGCTTCTCTGAGCTTCGGATTTCCCGCCTATGTAATGGGAGGAAAATATAGTAGCTCTACTTTCTGTAAATCACAAGAATAAAATGAAATAACATATGTGAATATGCTTTCTTAATTACCCGGTACTATACAAATGTGAGAGATTATTATCGTCACAGCTCAGCTCATCAGAATGAGAAGTTGTATGTGGCTTAAAATAATCCATCCAGTGAGCTGTGCTAAAATGTAGGTCACATCATAGCCTCAGAAGTTTAGAGAGAGGCTGGAGAGGCTGATGGGAGCCACCTAATCTAACAGGCCTTCCGAATGGGAAGGTGCTTTGAAAGCCATAAAGAATTACATAAATGTAGAGTGACAATTATGTTTAAACCCAGGGTATAGATTTTAGTCATCCTGTCTCCTGATTGTAGAGCCATAAAGATCCAAGTAGCTGTGGAGCCTCATGAAATGTTTTATTTTCATGGGTTTAGATTTGCCTGAGTGCTTCATCTGTGTGTATATGGACTCATTTATTGAGCATCTACTATGTGACAGTCACTTAAAAGTATTTTCAGTTGCTCTATCCTGTGCATCAGTCCAGGCATTATGTTTTTTTTTTTTTTCATACTGATGATTGAACTCACGACCTCACACTTACCAGGCAAGTGCTTGAACCACTGAGCTAAATCCCCAGTCCCTAATCTAGGCATTATGGATCACCTGTCAGTTCCCTCAAGAAGTCCATGGCCTGGCTAGCACAGTGCTGAGAGTTGGAATGCTGGGTGGTGGGCAGCAGCTCAGTCCAGGTGGGGGACTGGAGGAGGGGGCCCAGGGAGAGGGAGCTCAGGAAACGAGGCTGGAGAAGGGGGCTGCAGTTTGGTGGTTGGCCCGAAGGGAAGGTAGGTGGGCACAGGGAGCAGTCTGTGCAGGGGAAGCAGGCGCTTCTGAATGTACGGTGGTCCGTTGGTTCCGTATGGAAAGGGACCCAGGTGACCTAGCCAGCTCCTGGGGTCCTGCTGCTGAGGGCCAGGCAGCTGGGCTTGGCCCGCTAGGCTCTGGGATCCTCCTCAGAGAAAGGCGTAAGCTCTGCAGAGTGACCTAAGGACATAAGGAATCGTGCACTTTCGGAGGGTCAGAGCCAGTATCCCACACACCTCACTGCAGTGGCACTGGCCAGACGTTAGGCTGTGCGCCGTGAGTAGTGGGAGCTCTCGGAGGGCAGTGGGCTGGGGCCTGGGGAAGAAGGCTGGGAGTGCGGTGCCTGTGGGAGCCTTCTAACCAGGAAGTGTGGAGCTGGGAGGAAGCGAGCGGTTCTTGAGTGACTGTCACATGGGAGCTTTCGACTGTTACCTCACTTAATTCTGTGTGTGCATTGTATGTCTATTTGTGTGTATCTTTTTGAGATGGGGGCTCTAGGCAGTTCAGGTTGGCATTGAACTCACTTTGTAGCTCAGGCTGGCCTTGAACTCCCAGCAATCCTCCTGTCTCAGCCTCCCAAGTGCTGGGATTACAGGTAGGTGCCCCCTGACTTAATTCTTGTGCTTAACTGTAAAGTAGTTGTTGTTATCCCCATTTTGAGGAAAGCAAGGCACAGGATGTTAACAGCTTGAAGTGACCAGTAAAGGACAGTGCAGAAATCCCAGCCCTGCTCTCCCCTTTCCAAAGCCCACCTGCCTCTGATTTCTGCCCCTCCACTGCTGCTGCAAGGGCTGATTACTTCAGTCTCCTTACTTGACAGGTGAGGAAACCAAGCTGGCCCAAATCTGTTCTCGCTGGGTATGATACTGTTTCCCAGCTGCTCGAGTCACTGCGGATCAGGTTCTTCTGTTTTGGAGTTTTAGTGATGCGTCCTAATTGTGTGCTACTTGCAGATTTGATAAGCATATTTTACATTCCTTTGCTTAACCCATCGGCAGAGATATTGAATAAAATAGGCCCCGTGACAGATGCAAGAATGAACCACTTGATATGCCTCCTTGGAGCCGTGGAGGGCACAGCCCGGCCATCTGTTCACCCTGCTCAGAGGATCTGCCTCCTGTCTGACAGCCTGAACCACAGGCAGGTTCTGAGCAGAGAGCCTTCCGCTGCACTGCATTTGGGCTTCTTCTAGTTGGCGGAGGACCTGGGTGTGAATGCCGACCTGGGCTCCCATGGAGACTTGGAGTCCTTAGCCCAACTGCGGCGTAAACAAGGCTGGAGGGCACCCTGCGCTGAGCACCCCTGCCTGCCCTCGGCATTTCAGGCCACGTGAAGCGATCACCCCGTCCTCCTGGGCTGGTTAACCCTGAGTTGAGTCCAGCAGAGGAAAGCGTGCTAAGCGCCTGCAGCATGCCTGGATGGGAGGCATGGGTACAGCGAGGAATGCAGGTAGTCTGCATGTAGCGTGGGGTTTGCCTGTGAGCAGCCCCAAAGGTTTTCCACATGCCTGCTGGGAGCCGGGGCTCCCCGTCCAGAAAGGTCAGATGTCTTTGTTTTTAGGCCATTGCCATGTGGTGGCCAAGGTTTGTTTTTGTCAGGCATCCTGATTGGCTGTCATAGCTATGGTTAGTCAGGATAAAAGTTTGAAAGTCAAATAAATAAATGCCTTTGTCGGAAATTACAGTTTGTTAAACAAGCAGTTCAATATCTTGAATTTCTAGGCCCCAGGAGTCTTTCCAGAACTGGAATTTGGGAGTGAACAGGACAGACAAGGAGACAAGCTATTTGAGAAGCAGATGGGATAGACTCCTCCAACCACTCACTTTCTGAATAAGGAAACTGAGGCTCAATGAGGATGAACCTACAACTAGGAGTGGGTAGAATGGACCCACTTCTGTTTGCTCCAGGCCCTGTGCCCTTTCTGTGACCTCAGTTGACCCTGATAGTTTTATGAAGCTGCCACCTACTTAGCAGGGGTCACATCAGACCAAAAGTACCACCCCACCCAGAAATTCATGGCAGTCTGTGGGAGTCCAGTTGAGACCTTCACACGTACTGAGCCGCGTATTTCCCCTCTGTGATGCAGGTAGTGCTTTCGTAGAGGGTGTGTGAATGGGACTTCAGGGGCGAGCACAGAGCCGGCAGCCTGGCAGGCCATAGGCGCGTGCCCTCGGCACCTGACCGGGCTTTCCGGACCCTCACTCTGCCCTCCAGTTGGCTGCTTCCAGCTGCGCTTTCCTGGAAATTTCAGAGCCCCTGCGGGATCTCTGGTCCCTGGCCAGCCTCTGCCTCCACCCTGGGGCCTTCTCCGTCCTGGGAGGCTCCAGTGGTCTTCCCCGCCTCTCCAGGCCCTCCCTCCTTTGTCTTTCTGCACAGAAAGAGTTGCTCGTGCAGACAGTCATCACAGCACTCGCCAAATCTCTGTCCTCGATAGCACTTTTCTAAGATAACTCTGGGGTGGCAGCTGTCTCTTCCCTGGCTCCCACAAGGCAGTGATGAGCTCTTCTGCACCTCTTGATGATTCTCCTGTCCTTGGTGGGTGCAGCCCTCTCTCCAGGGTGACTGTGCCACCTTCGAGCGCTCAGGCTGTGTCTGTCATCCTCTGCTTGCGTGTCTGGTGGCCTCCCAGAATCTGAGCTGCAATGGTTGGTCTCAGACCTGCCTCAGATGGGTAAATGGACAGAGCGAGGCCAGCGATGCTTTTCCAGTTGGTCCAGTGTCTACAGCTGGTTGTGGTAGGCTTTCATTTGTGTGTCCCACTGTCACCTAAAAATCAATGTGGCAAACCACATACTATTTTGAAATCATAGAAAATGAAAGTTAACTGGAACATGAGGGCCATCTCAGTGAAATCTCCAGGAACCTTGGGCACTCTGTCCTCCTCCATCTAATGTGCCAGCAGTGTTCTGGGTTGCTGCCACCCCAGAAGGGGCCAGGAAGCCATCTTTAGCTCCCGGCATCACACGAGGAGCAGCCTGCAGGCCTTCTGCTGGGTCAGGGTCCCTATCTCCTTCCCACCATTGTTTTGCTGGTGATTAGTCATGCCAGAGCCTGGCTGAGTCAGAAGGGACTTGTGGGTGGTTTGTGGCCACGCTGGAGCAGCGAGGCAGGACTTTCTAGGTTTATGTCTTCGTGCCCCAGGAGACAAGTACAGAGGACCCACCCCTGAACAGGTCCTGTGTGATGCACAGATAACAAAACAGACCCCTGGCCCAGAACTCAGCAAGTGAGAAGGATCAAAGCCAAGATGTGGTCCCCGAGACATTCCTGTGGGGTGACAGCCACATGCAGTGCCAGGGCCATATGGCGAGGCTCCAGGGCAGGCATATTTACAGCCGCTATAAAAGTCCTGCACTTCACACAATGGTCCTCGTTTCAAGTACTGTGTGTATTTCAAACAGATGACCCTACGTTTAAACATTCCTTTTCATCGGATTTTATTCTTTCCAGTAAAGATTCATTAAATAGATTGCTCATTGAATTTTTGTACTTGAGTATGATTTTTTTTATATATGTATAAATTCCTGAGAAACAGTTCCTTTATCAGAACATGTGCTAGGCTCTTGTGGTTGAAAAATGTGGTCACCAGAGGGAGCAGTGCTTTCTGCTGGGCAGTGGGGCCTCCGGAAAGCCCCTGAAGATGTACTTAAGTGGTGCCCCGAGGGAGGCTCCAGGTTCGCCAGGCAGGAAGGGGTGACAGTGACCTTGTTGATGGGACAGAATAGCACAGTCCTGGAAGTGTGGCTGTTGGGGTGGGACAGAGGGAGGCCAAGGCCAGCCGGCCAGGCCTGGAACAAGGTGCCTTCTGGGTCAGCTCTGGCTCACAGGCTGTCTGTGCCCACAGGAAGGAGAGGAGCAGGAGGAGCCTCGAAGCAAGGAGGAGCGCCAGGAGCCCAGCGCCACAGCCCGGAAGGTGGGGAGGCCCGGCCGAAAGCGCAAGCACCCCCCGGTGAGTGCCCCATCTTACACAAGGCCCACACACGGGCGTGGCCCCTGGACAGCAGTGATGTACGTTCTGCAGAGGCCTGGGGCCCGAGGACCAGCTGCAGCGCTTGCTTGGATTCCTCATTCTGTGAAGCCAGCAGCAACCTCAAATCCCGTTTTCTACACTGAGAACTGGAGACCCTGCAGAGTCAGGGGACATGACCTGGGGGTGTCGGAGCAGGGCTCTCAGTCAGGCCCCTGCCTCGTAGCTGGGCTACAGTAAGAGAGCTGCCAGACTCCCTGGACCGTCCCAGACCTCCTGGCCTGGCTGCATGAGCCCCTTCCTGCTGACCCACACGGCCCACCCTGGGCCTCAGTGCCCCCAGAGAGCTGCAGGGCTGCCGCCGTGTGGGGAGGAGCTGCAGGCCGAGAGGGATAGCAGCGCGCGGCTTCGAGAGCTGTGGCCACCCCGCTGCCTTCTGAGAAGCTCTAGGTTGCCCAGGCTGAGGAGCGGTAAGGGCACAGCTGAGGGCTGGCCAGCCAGCCTTTGCGTGCCTTCCGAGCAGAGGTGGGGAATTCTTTCCCAGCCGCAGAGACAGCTGGTTCCCTTCTTTTACCCCCTTCCAGCTGACAATGGTAAACTTGGAGCAAGAAGGTGAGGGGGAGCCAGAGCCTCTGAATTTGTAGCTCAACCCCTTCGATGAACTGCTCTCACTAGGGCAGGAGCCCAGGGCTTGTGCGCAGCGTCGATGGGGAAGTGGGTTCTTAGAGGCTGGGAATGGCAGCACACCTCCGCCAGCTGTGCTTGAAGATGGAGGTGGGGGCAAAAGGCAGTGAGTTTAACTGGGGAGGAATTTTAAACATTTTAATATTAAAGCAAACATGGATATTTTATGGCCTGGACTGACAAGTTTATATGACAACGAAAGATAGAATGGGACTTCAGAAGAATTCGTAGTGTGCAACCGGCCACACCGGCAGGTTCTCAGGATGCCCCCCACTTCCCCTGCCAAGAGGCCCTGGAGGGAGCAGGGCAGTGCAGAGCCACAGCCTCCCCCTCACCAGCCTGGTGGCCGGTGCTCTGCTGAGCAGGCTCTGCTCTTCCTGACCTGGCCTCGGGTGGAGAGCCACCACCTGGCTCAGATCAGGACCCAGCAGCCCTTGAAGTCACATTGTCATGGGGCAGGGCTGGGGTCAGGGCACAAGGTAAGCACGTGCAAATGGACAGTGAGAGAAGCGGGCAGAGGCATATGTCTCCACCTGAAGCCCACACAGTGCAGAGGAGAAACAGCATTTTTGTGTGCAAAGTGCATTAGAAGTGGATTTGAATCCCAGCTCAGCTTACCTGGGTGGTTCTGAACAAGTCACTCTGCCTGAACCTCAGGTTCTCTGTTAAGCAAGTTACTCAGCCTCACTGAGCAAGTTATTCAGCCTCACTGAGCTACTTTCCCATTGGTAAAATAGGACCGTGCGTAACACCTGCTCTGGCTGGCTACAGTGGTATATTCCTGTGGTCCCAGCACTCGGGAAGCTGAAGCAGGAGGATTGCTGCATGTTCGAGGCAACATAGTGAATTCCTAGGCTGCCTGAACTACATGGCAAGATTCTGTCTCAAACAAAACAAAAATATTTTTTTAATTGAAAAAAACAAAACAAAACCTCTGCTCTGTCCACTTTCTTGACGCTTTGCAAATGACAGAGGCAGATGTGCAAAAATGGTCCTGTAATGAGTCTGTGCCATGGCAAGCCCAGTGTCCCCACACCGAGAGGCTGGCCTCTGAGTAGCTCTGGTGGGGGCAGCACACATCTTTTGTCAGTCTGGATGAGGTTAAACCCGTGTCCAAAGTGCCACCCATAGCCACCTGGACCCTCCAGTGAGGGCCCCGGGGTGGGCCAGGCCTGAGACAGCTATTGGAAGGGCACTGGGCAACAGACAAGGATGCAGCCCAGAGAACCACAGCCCAGAGTCCACGTCAGGGCTTCCTGGTGCCCGCCATGTGCCAACCTGGCTGTAGAGTTCTGTGGGGGCCTCAGCCCTTGGGGCAGGTGCTGGTCCCAGCCTCCTTACCTACTCCACAGTGGCTGAGCATTGTCCATCGAGCCTGGAGAGGGCAGATGCTCGCCTCATGCCCTCTGCGTGTAACCAAGGGGAGGCACTGGCTAGAGGCAGGAGCTTCCTGATGCAAATGTGGCACCATCAGTGCCACATGGAGAGATGAGGGATACCCAGTGCCTGCCAGCCCCAACGCTCAGCGGTGTTTCCCGGCCTCCCTTGGTCCTTTGCCTTCAGCTGGGGTCTGTCTGTGGTGTTGTCCATGGCTCTTCTGGAGCCCACGTGAACCCAGAGCCCAGGCCAGCAGGCTTTCTAGAGCTCCCATCCCTCCCCCTCCCGCCTCGACAGCACTTTGTGCTGCTCCTGCCGTGTGGAGGCAGCAGCTCTGATGGGAAGACGTCACTTCCAGCCCAGCGTGCCAGAGTGAAGAGCCACCCGTGGTTACGTTAGATGCAGTGCTGGGAGTAGCCTTCTCCAGTCTGCAGGGACTTCTGTCCCCTCCCTGCTTCCTTTTCCTCTGGGGATCAGACTCTATCACTGAGCTGCCTCCCCAGCTCTTTAGATTTTTTTATTTTGAGATAGGGCCTCACTAAAATGCCCAGGTGGCTGGAACTTGAAATCCTCCTGCTTTAACTTTGGGAATAGCTGGGACTGCCTGTAAGTGGGTGCACCGCACCCAGCCCGAGGCCTTTTCATTTGCTGTTTATCAACTTGATATTGTTGCCACATCCACGTGCCTGATTTTTTTTTTTTTTTTTTTTTTGGTGCTGGAGATCGAACTCATGACCTCTCGCTTGCCAGGCAGGTGCTTAAGCCACTGAGCTAAATCCCCGGCCCCCAGCCCTTTTTTGGAACCAGGTCTCTGTGTGTGTAGTTCAGGCTGGCCTTGAAACCCGAGTGCTGGGATTACAGTTATACCCCACCACACTTGGCTACCTTGGCCTGATTTTATGTTTTAGGAAACCGTCATTTCTCATTGGACAGAGAATTTAAAAATCCAGAGCCAAAATGCGGCTTTTTCCCTAGGTAGTTGGCAGAGCATGGGAGAGCGTCTTGTTTCCTCTAGTTCTGATCCTGGGTGCCACCCCTCGGCACCCGCACGGAAGGCAGCTGCACTGTGCCCGCTGAGGGTGAAGACCATGAATAAATGCTTGCAGTTGTGTAGCACTTGATTGCCCACGAAGGCCGCTACGATGATTGCCTCCTTTGATGCTGATGACATAGCTGTGCAAGAGGAGACACGGGTTATTATCAATCCCACATGCAGATGGGGCGCCTGAGTTCACAGAGCTTTCAGGACTTGGATTCCACAGTTTCTTTCCTCACCACCGCAGTCTGGCCCACTGAGTATGGAAGGGCTCTTTCTTAAGTTAATGTGTGAATGCAGGGCTGTTTGAAAAGGTACCTAAACAGGTTGCAACAAGTATGCAAAGAAAGTACAAGCCAGGAAGGCGACTGACCAAGTGTCAGTGGGGAAGGCTGCAGTGGTGGTCCGAGGACCAAGGAGTGGCCCTGATTAAAGCCAGGCAGGGCCCTGGGTGGCCTGTGGCTCTGCCTAGAGCCAGGATGCTGCTGGCAACAGGAAACAGGAAGCCAGCAACAGGGCTGGGTGGGGCTTAGGAAGGGAGCGCGCACCTGGGCCAGGGCCTGTGGGCTGGCCAGTGGGCAGGCTGGCCGGTGCCTGTGCTGGGAGGAGGGGCCTGTATGCAGGGCAGGGAGGAAGGGGCATCTTCCTGTTCACCAGCTGCTGAGGACTTCGCAGGGTGACAAGTGAGGCTGTCTGAGGCTGGTTCCTGCCTGGTCGCAAGCCCAGACAGCTCTTGAAAGGCTTTGTCCTCCACATGTGGTTCCATGTGGGATAGTTTCTATGTATGGCCACTCGGCCCTAGGGGCGGCCTGCCCTGCAGGGTTCTATACCCTGTTTATTAGCTATATGAATTCATTGAAGATTTATACCCACCAACTTCCTCCAGGGTTATTTTTGCTTGGAGGGAGCATTCTGAGGTCACCTCTTGCTAAGAATAACCCAGAAGGGTGGGGGAAGAGTAGGAGGGGCCTGGGTGCTGGCGCTGGGCTGAGCTGAGCCAGGCCTGGGTTCCTGATTCCCCCTCAGGCCCTCAGCGCAGCACAGGGAGGGAGCTCAGGAGGGCAAGATCACCTCCCCTCTGGGGGAAAGGCTTGGGGTGTGAACTCTGGTAACTTTGGTGGCCTGTTCCCCCACCACGTAAGTGTAGGCAGTGCCACTCAGCTCTTAGAGGTGTGGACTGATCTTCCAGCCTTGCAGGACCTTTTGATTCTTTTCCCAGTTAAAACAGAACACAGAGCCCCTCCTCACGTCCAGATCAGAACTGCTGTGGTACTGAGCATTCAACAATGATTCGTGTTGCCTTGTTTATAGGCCCAAAACTTCTTGAGACAGCGTCTCTGGTTCCCGGGCTTCAGCCCCAGTCATCTGTGCTATGGTGACTTTTCTTTCTGTGAACCCCTCTGCAGCCCCTCCTGCCTTCTCTCAGTTTAGAAGGTGTGAGGAAAATGGACACTCATGGAGCTCATGAGGTTTGAGGCTGAACACCCACTACAAACCCCCTAGCTGGGTGGTCAGACAGACACCCATCCGTGGAATTCACCTCAGGGGTGGGGCTCCTAAGGTTTCTGGGGAATCCGGAGGTGGGGGACATGTTGACGGGTGGGGGCTTTGAAAGAGGGGACAGCCAAAGAAAAGTGGTGGACACTTGGTGAGCAGGGTGTGGTGAGGGTGTGTGGGGAGGCAGAGGCGGGGTGGGCCCTAGGGCCCTTGACTGGGGTTTCATGTAGAAGTGTGCCCTGGGTTGAGCAGGGTGTTAGCAGGCAGTGTGTAGGATCCCCTTCCTTATGTTTTCAGAAACACGGGAACCCGGTGGCTCTGAACAGGGGGCTGCATAGCGAGGGAAGCATTTCCCGGGGGGAGGGGGACCTTTGCTGGCATCTGTGCT